GTTCCGGTGCCCGCGGGCGCTGGGGTCTCTCCGAGCCGGTCCCTCACCCCCTGCTCCCCGCAGGCAGAGCCTGGCTGGGCCGCGCCGAGCCGCCGGCCCGGGGTGGCCGCAGCGGGGAGGAGGAGGAGGAGGAGGAGGAGGAGGAGGAAGGGTGCTACCAGCTGTACCCCGGGCACATCCCCACCAGCCCGCTGCAGAAAGCGCTGCTGGCTGCCGGCTCGGCCTTCATGGCTCTCTATGACCCCTACAGACACGGTAAGCTGAGCTGGGGGGGCTCCTTCCGCCCAGCGGCCGCCTTAACGTCCGGCAAATCCCGCCCCGTGTCTCCCGGGAATTTCTCATGGAACTTTATTTCTCCTCCCATCGAGTGAGACATTTAGTTATGGGGCAAGTGCAGGGCTGAGCCATAGCCCGGGGCAGGAGGCTGTAGAAAAGTGGGTGAGGAACCCCAAACACACCCCAGTGATCTCCTCCTGACCCCGTGATGCCACCCAGCCCCATCTCATTCCTCCTCGGTCCCCCAGGCCTCACGCCTGCTCCTACATCCTTCCCTGCGGGTGTCACCGGGGCAGAGCAGCCCCAAAGCTGAAGATCATGGTTTGTGGGGCTCCTTGCTTTGCCACAGGCTGCCTGCCTGCCCCTGGCTAAGGGGTTCGTTGCCCCATTTCCTCACCTGCCAGCTGAGGACGGCTGGATGTTGCAAAAACCACTCTTGGGTCACTCTCTGGTCTCTCTTTCAGACATGGTAGCAGTCCTCGGGGAGACCACAGGCTGCCTGGCCCTGCCCAGCCTGCGAGACAAGATGAAACACCACCCTGAAGGTTACCGCATCCTCCAGTGCGTCCCTTCGCATCCCCCCTCCCTCGCCGCGTGGTTGGTGGTGGGGAGGGAGACGTGAGTCCAAGCGCATTTCTTGGGCCCTGTGAAGGGAGAGCCCTGCACTCCCTGGCTTGAAAATGGCACAGGCCTTTTGTTAGCTCTAACCCTCCAGGCTGTTTATTTTACTCTGTTTTTAATGATCACGAGAGCTCTGTGGCAAGTCTAAGGGCAAGAGCGGAGCAGGCGCTGGGCCCAGCGCTATTTCAAATGTTGCTGGCTGTCTGTTCTGCTTCACTGCTGGAACTGGCAGGTGCCAACGCAAGGAAATGCAGCTGCAGGCACAGGGGAGAAATCCATGGATGTGGTGGGTTTTCATCACTGCTCAGCAATGGGTGAAACCCCACCACGTCCATGGATTTCTCCCCTGTACCTGCCGCTGCGACTCCTTGCGTTGGAGGCTTTGTCTCCGCTGGTCTGCCTCCTCCTTAGACACCTCCGTATTTTCTTTTCCAGTGCCTGCAGCATCTCCCTAAGCTGTGAAATGAGGCCACTTCTCTTGTCTTCCTTGTTAAGGCTTGATCACTTTTGCTTCCATGTCTGCAGGGACTTGTCGAGCGTCTGTCGGGAGGATTTATGAATCTCTTATTAACCAAGATCTTACTGCCTATTTGCTTCCCTGCTCCTTCTTATGTGTCACGCCTGCCGCTTGTGTATTGTTTGGGTTGTACCACGTAGGGGCTGGGGAGAAGCTGCCTTTTGCCACATGTTTGTGCAGAGCAGCCTGATCCTGGCTCCAGACGCCGACCTGGCAAAGGACACACAGCACCGGGATGGGGCTGAGACCCAGAGGAACTGCCCACGGAGAGGGGACAGCAAAGGCACTGTGGCCTGGGGAGAGGTGTCCCCACCGGCTCCTTGCCCTGTGGTATTGCATGGATTTGCAGTGGTGATTTGTGCACACAAGTCTTTTTTTTTTTTTTTTTTTTTTTTTTTTTTTTTATATAATCCTCTAGCTGCTGGTCCCTTTGACACCAAATACAGAAGGAAGAGCCTGCAGCCAGGGTGAAGCTGGTGCTAGTCCTGCTTATCTCTGACACCTCCACTCCAGGGGCTGAGTAGCTGCTGGATCCAGGGCTTTTATCATGGGAAGAATTTATCCTGTATATGGAAATAAAAAGGCTTTTGTTTAGTTCCAGGGCTGTGGGGCACCTGTTCGTCAACAACCTGGAGAGAAGACCTTTCCATGCATGGTTGCCACGTGGCTGGCAGTGAAAGCCTGAGCAGGAGAAAAATTAAACCTGTGTTTAGAACAAATTCTCTCCCCTTTTTAGGGTTCGTTTGAAGCTCTGGCTGCTTTGCAGAGATGCTAAAGAGCTCTGCTCTCCCGGGACTGGCTGTTGCTGGAGACTGCCTGGCTGACAGCCCACATGGCAGCAGCATTTTGGTGCAGAGGACACCGGTGTTTTTGCAACTGGAGTTGCTACAGGGGTGCAAGATGAGAGCAATTTTGTTGCTAAGGCTTCAGATAGATTCTTTAAGCAATTTGTGTCCCAGCTTCAGCAACAGAAATAAGGATGATGCTATCCTTGCAGTGAGCAGTCAGGATCCGTGCAAGGAAAATGCCCAGGAGGGGCAGAGGCAGGGGATGAGGGCTTCCAGGGGCTCCTTTTCTCCAGGACTCCCTGCTGTGGGTTTCACTGGGAGATTCACTGACCTGTGTTTTGCTTTCAGGGAACGGCCTCGCATCCGTCTCTCCACCCTGGATATGTCCAAGCTGCAGGGGCTGCCGGACGGCTCGCTGGGCCGAGAGTACGTCCGGTTCTTGGAGGACAACGTGAGTGTGGGGTTTCATAGGGTGCAAACCCCTGGACTTGATCCCTGTGTTGGGAGCATGGATGTGCTTTAGAGGGAGATTAGAGCCATGGAGGAACCTGTGGGGAACCCTCCAGGAATGAGAGGGAGTTGAGGAGACAGGATGAGATGCTGAGTGTTGGACAGTGCTGGATTTGTCACCAGTGTTGCACAGTCCTTAGTTTTCATCTATGTAAATGACACTAACCCCTGTTATTGGAGGCTAGGAGATGCACTGAGGAAAGGTACCACGTATTGCTGTGTATTAAACAGTGAGGCCAGAAACCGGAGGTTTGGAAGGGGCTGAATTGGACCTCTCTGGATTTGCAGAAGGTTTCTCCAGACACCCGGATGCCACCCAAGTTTGTTGATGATGAAGAGCTGGCGTATGTGATCCAGCGGTACCGGGAAGTCCATGACCTGATGCACACCCTCCTGGGCATGCCAACCAACATGCTAGGTGAGCAGCAGTGGGCTCAGAGGGCTGAGCTGCCAAACCTCACTGACGATGCTCAGCTCCATCTCCCAGGGACGGAGCAGGCTGCACCAGTCAGACTCCTTGATCCTCAGCCTGGGTTGGTGTGCGGGGCGGTTTGCATCATCTCTGTCCTGCATCACTGGCTCTGTGGTGACTGAGAGGGCATGGGATGTCACCTTTCCCCTGCTGGGAGATGCTCTGCCCAAGCCTTGGGTGCAGGCAGCTGCTGGGCAGGCAAGTGGGTGTTTGCTGCCTGGCAGGGAGGGTGGCAGTGAGGGAGGAATGTTTCGCAAGCTCTGAGTGAAGGCAGAAGTGAAGGGTTCCTGGTTGCTCCTTATCTGTGTGTCTCCATGTCCTTTGCCCTCATTTTGTGTCTGACTCAATAGCAAGCCACAAGTCGAGCCTTGCTGGTGAGCCTGCGGGAACCAGCATGTCAGGTCTCCTACGCAGGCTTTGGCTGGGCCCTGGCAGCATCTGTAAAAAGTCTGTCCTGTGCTGAGAGTCAGGGAGAGCCACGCAGGCACTCAGGCTTCAGCAATTGCGTGTCTAAAGATCTGCAGGGAGCTGTCCTGCCTGGGAGGTGTTTCCCAAGCTCATGGGGCATCAGTGTGAGGTGCTACTCCCTGTGGGCCATCCCTTTCGTGTGGGTGGTGTATGATGAGGCTCATCCTGGCACAGGATGAGGCCACAGCCAGCCCTGGGAAGCATTCCTGAGTCCTGCCACAGGGACAGAGGGGATGGGTGTGTGGGCATCCCAGGGATGGGGCAGCTTGTGCACCTGTCTCGAGGGACCGCGCGGCCCTGGCTGGCCCTCCCTCGACCCGGGTGCTCTGCCTGCTGATAGCTCCCTGCTCCCTCCCAGGTGAGGTCGTGGTGAAGTGGTTCGAAGCTGTCCAGACGGGGCTGCCCATGTGTGTCCTGGGAGCAGCGTTCGGCCCCGTCCGTCTCAGTGCACGGTAGGCACCATCGCTGGCCGATGAGGAGGGAGTCTCTGCCCCGGGGATGTGCCAGCCTAGGTGATACTTTCTGGTGTCCTCTGGGGGTGAAGAGGGTGCACAGCTCGTTTGCAGGGGAGAGTCAGTCAGGGATCCCTCCTGCAAACCTGCTGCTCTGTCCCCACAGCCCAGGGAAGCAGTGACAGCAGGAGGCATGGCTTTGCCTGGTTGCTGAAGCAGAACCGGATGCTTCATCTACTTCTAGCACCAAACCTCCTGTGCCAGGCAGGAGGAGCAGTGCCCAGGCCTGGCTGCCCGTGGCTGGGCACGTGTTGAGAGCCAGCAGGACCGTCACCATACTGGCAGCTGTTCCCTGCCCCACCACATCTGTTTTGGTGGACCAGCACTGTTTGGGGAGTGGAGAACCTGAGGTCTAGTGTTGGGTTTGCTGCCAACTGTAACCTTCCTGGCACACTTTCTTTTCTGTGCCTCAGTTTTCCCTGTGAGTTAAGCAGGAGGGATGGTAGAAGGGTGGAGGGGTACACGGGACACATGGGTTTGGCATCTGCCTGCAGTGGGGACTTTGGAGAAGGAAATCAAAAAACAAAATGTGGAAATCAAAACTGCCACCTCCTGTATCATTTGTTCCAGAAAACTGCAGGTCCTGGCCACTGAGCTGATTCCCTGGGCGATTCGGAGCGGGCGCAATGCCAACTGTATCCTGAACATCTACTACGAGCAGCGCTGGGAGCAGCCAGTGGAGTCCCTGCGGGAGGAGATCGGCATCTTCCCTCCCCCGGCCATTCGAGTGTGAGAGCTCAAGTCTGGGGAGGGGACAGGGAATCCCCATTGGCAGACAGCAGCTGTCCCCAGCCACGCTGCATCTCCTGCCCAGGAGCACAATGTGGCTCTGCTAGCAGCCACCACAGACCCAAGGGCTGAGTTTTCTCCTGCCAAGAGCTGGCACCCTCCTGTTGGTAGAGGACAAGTGGCACCTCCCTGTGCCATGACAAAACTTGACCCTTTTTGCTGTTTGTGATTCAGTGGAGGGATGGCAAGACCCGCCATGCCTTTGCCAGCTGGGTCTGGCTGCTTGGGTACCCCCCAGCAACAGCGCTTCAGTAGTGATTCTCTGAAATGCTGGGATGGGAAGGGAGCAGAGCTGGTTTACAACACACTGCAACAAACTGCTTCCTCAGCCTTCTGCAGCTCTGGGGCTGTGGAGGTAAATCCCTTCTCCCACCCTCCCTGGAAAGGTTGAAGCTTGAAGTCTTGGGGCCACCCTGGACTGAAGCTAAACTACTGATTCATAGAGCAGCCCAGGGGCAGGTTTGGTATGTGCAACAGTGAAATCCCTTCTTGTACTGGTGCCTAACTGGTCTCCTGATGGGTCATGTGGAATGTGCCTCATGCCTTGGAGACCAGGCGGTGTGCAATTGCATGCCCATGGGAGCAGGCAGGGAAATACCTTTCGATATTATCCCTGCTGGATTGGCTGTTTGAGAGCTGATCCCAGTCTGCTGTGTCTCCCTGTAGTCCTTCCCCATCAAAAATGCTGAAATCCACGTGATTGCGCTTGTTTTTCAAGAGGAACCATTCCCTCCTTGGGCAACAAAATTACGTGATCGGGAATAAGGGGCTGAATCCTGAGAGTGCAGAAACGGCGGCTGCTTGCTCTGCATCTGGGAGCTGATTGCTGTCTGGGTTAATTAAACAGGGCTCCAGACTGCCAGGAGCTGGAGAGCAGAGCTGTCGGATGCGAGGGCAGAGCCACAAGGCCAGGAGCTCTTTGTATGTGTGGGTTTGCTGTTGAAATTCCTTCTTGCTTAATAAAATCCACGGTAGAGCTTGTGGTTTGTTACCGCTCTGCTTCCACCCCATCTCCCCTTCTGAGGGGGAGATCTGATGTGAAACCTCACCCCTTTTGAGCTCCAGCGGGGCCTGCTGTTCATGGTGGCAGGTGATAGCAGGGCACAGGGGTGCCCGCACATCCCTGGGGACCGGGGTGCAAAACGGGCTGTGGAGCTGCAACTTTCCAGCTGGGATTTGGGGGTGCTGGGCTGCTGAGTGGCTCCTTGTGGTGGTTGTTGCAGAAAGGCCCAGACAGGGGAAGATGGTGGTGCGGAGCAGGAAGGGCGTCGAGGCTGGGGGCTTCCTAAAGTGATCCCGGTTCCCAGGGGAGGGCAGGGTTGCTCTGACTGGGGTCTTTTGGTGGTCCTGGGAGGGGTTATGCAGCCAGGGGACTGGGCATTGCCCTGCTGTGAGGTTCACTGGCCCCATCCCAGTCTCCTGAGGGATGTTGGAGGCAGAAGCAGAGGCTGATGGTGTGTCACTCCATCCCCAGAGGCTGAGCAGGGACAAAACTCTTGGGTTTTGGGCTATGTTTAAGAGCAGACACCAGGACAGGGACTGGCTTCCTTCTTGTGCTGCCTGACTCCCTGTTTTCAACTTCTCCCTCTAACCCTCACCCCCCATCAGCCACACTTGGGTTTTTCTCCAAAACCAGGTTCATGCCTCCCCTTGGCCTCTGGAGTTATTTATTTCAAGAAGATAATAAAAGATATCATATAAATACATCCCTCAGCTGCTGGTGAAATGCACGGAGTGGGGGTTGTCCTATTGCACTGGTCAAGACGAAAGAAGCGTTTGGCCCTAAAATGACCTGGAAATGTGCTTTTCTGCATCAGAAATGTGTCGGAGCTTTGGGGTGGTTAAACCAACGGGCAGAAAAGATTCGTCGCTTCCAGAAGCTGTGAGCAGCGATCAAGGAAACACGGGAAATGATGGTCACGAGAGAGGGTTTCGCTGCACGTTGGGTTATTTTCTGTGGTGCTGGTGCTGCCGGCGGCGGTTGTGCCGCCTTCGTGCCGCCGCGTGGTGCTTGGTGGGCTGGTGCCGGCGCTACAGAAATGGCACGTCATGGAATTTTAAACGGCATCTGCTCCGCCGGGTCACTTAACCCACCGCCGCTCGCCGAGTCTGCAAGAAGGAAGGCGGCAGCGGCAGCGGGGGGAAGCGGGGGTGATTTTGGCAGGTCAGGCACAAGCCATGTGTGAAAATATTTTTTTTGGAGGGGGCAGATCCGTGCCGTGTGAAAATGTGTTTTTTTGGTGCAGTCCGTGTCTGTGCTGCGGGGGCTGTTTTGGGGACGCGGTGACGGTAACTGCCAAGGGAGGGGATGCTGCCGCTGCACCTCGCACAGACCGAGGTACGTTTGACAGACGGAGCCCCCCCCCCCGGCAGCGACCGCGGCCCCGCTACACGCGCCGCCCCGTGGCTCCGCTCCGAAAACGGGTCTCACCGAGGGCCCCGCGGGGCGGCAGCGGCCGGAGGTGGCGGCTCCGCGCGGCCCGGTGCGGTTCGCGGAAACCGGGAGAGAGGGTGGCAAAATACGACTCTGG